TCCTTCCGGCTGGGAACAGATCAGATGTTTGCTCGCATTGTAACAAGCTGGACGGTAACAACTGCTGTTTGATATTCAGCGAGAGATTGTTTGTCGAGCGTCTTAGAAATCTTCTTCTTGACTCCTTCAGGTCGTGCCGCGCTTCATCAGGGGGACGACCTGACCGAACACAACCCTCAAACACTTTCCTATTATCAATACCACAAAGGTTCATATTATAATTACAGATATAAAAGGGCCGGAGACAATAGTCACACATTATATGATACTGTATGGGGGGGACAAGGTGACTTATAGATACAAATCTACAATGGTTTAGGTTCTGCTGTGTCCTAAATGCATTTTATAAATGGGCCCAGCGGGCGTACAGACCCGGGAACTCAGCACAGGGATGGGGGGAGCTCCTCATAATGGGCACAGCAGGGGTACAGACCCGGGAACTCAGCACAGGGATGGGGGGAGCTCCTCATAATGGGCACAGCAGGGGTACAGACCCGGGAACTCAGCACAGGGATGGGGGGAGCTCCTCATAATGGGCACAGCAGGGGTACAGACCCGGGAACTCAGCACAGGGATGGGGGGAGCTCCTCATAATGGGCACAGCAGGGGTACAGACCCGGGAACTCAGCACAGGGATGGGGGGAGCTCCTCATAATGGGCACAGCAGGGGTACAGACCCGGGAACTCAGCACAGGGATGGGGGGAGCTCCTCATAATGGGCACAGCAGGGGTACAGACCCGGGAACTCAGCACAGGGATGGGGGGAGCTCCTCATAATGGGCACAGCAGGGGTACAGACCCGGGAACTCAGCACAGGGATGGGGGGAGCTCCTCATAATGGGCACAGCAGGGGTACAGACCCGGGAACTCAGCACAGGGATGGGGGGAGCTCCTCATAATGGGCACAGCAGGGGTACAGACCCGGGAACTCAGCACAGGGATGGGGGGAGCTCCTCATAATGGGCACAGCAGGGGTACAGACCCGGGAACTCAGCACAGGGATGGGGGGAGCTCCTCATAATGGGCACAGCAGGGGTACAGACCCGGGAACTCAGCACAGGGATGGGGGGAGCTCCTCATAATGGGCACAGCAGGGGTACAGACCCGGGAACTCAGCACAGGGATGGGGGGAGCTCCTCATAATGGGCACAGCAGGGGTACAGACCCGGGAACTCAGCACAGGGATGGGGGGAGCTCCTCATAATGGGCACAGCAGGGGTACAGACCCGGGAACTCAGCACAGGGATGGGGGGAGCTCCTCATAATGGGCACAGCAGGGGTACAGACCCGGGAACTCAGCACAGGGATGGGGGGAGCTCCTCATAATGGGCACAGCAGGGGTACAGACCCGGGAACTCAGCACAGGGATGGGGGGAGCTCCTCATAATGGGCACAGCAGGGGTACAGACCCGGGAACTCAGCACAGGGATGGGGGGAGCTCCTCATAATGGGCACAGCAGGGGTACAGACCCGGGAACTCAGCACAGGGATGGGGGGAGCTCCTCATAATGGGCACAGCAGGGGTACAGACCCGGGAACTCAGCACAGGGATGGGGGGAGCTCCTCATAATGGGCACAGCAGGGGTACAGACCCGGGAACTCAGCACAGGGATGGGGGGAGCTCCTCATAATGGGCACAGCGGGTGTACAGACCCGGGAACTCAGCTCAGGGATGGTGGGAGCTCCTCATAATGAGCACAGCGGGGGTACAGACCCGGGAACTCAGCACAGGGATCTCACCATTTGAGACCCTAGAAGAGACTTTTAGGGGGTGGACCTCTCCCTCATCTACCAAACACTGAAATATCTGTTCTGATTGGACGGATTCTTTAGCATCCAATTATTTTCATACAGTCTCATGTCGGGTGTTCGTTCTGCAGACACCCATACAGATGAAATCTGTCACGAATAACGTCCTCAGCCAGTCGCCACATGGATGCACAGTCCTTCCTTAGCGTTGGGTCCCATCTATAGTGTACAGCACGCTCACATCTCAGTTATAGGGAACACAGCGGCCTATCTGGCGGTGGAGCATCCAAGTGTTTGGGAACCACGATTTGCAGATTGCAGCGGGCCAATAACCCGAGAAGCTTCTCCAAGCTCTGCCTGTGGTGCCAGCCTTCTGCTAGATGGGCCTGGGGGGTGCCGCTACTGGAGGCCGCTTCTAATCTGCGCTCGGGGCCAAAGCGTTTCGGGTAATTAGAGAGAACCGTAATGGACGGGAAACGTGACAGTAACATCTTGGCAGATCGTCCAATCCTTTGTAGTGACTGGAAATGTTAATTCTAAGAACATGAAATCTGTATTGCCCTCCCTCTTTCCTTCTCTCTCTCTCCCTCCCTCTCTCTCTTTCCTTCTCTCTCTCTCTCCCTCCCTCTCTCTCTTTCCTTCTCTCTCTCTCTCTCTCTCTCTCTCCCTCTTTCCTTCTCTCTCTCCCTCCCTCTCTTTCCTTCTCTCTCTTTCCTTCTCTCTCTCTCTTTTTCCTTCTCTCTCTCTCTCCTTCTCTCTCTTTCCTTTTCTCTCTCTCTCTCCTTCTCTCTTTCATTATCTCTCCTTCTCTCTCTCTTTCCTTCTCTCTCTCTCTCTCTCTCCTTCTCTCTCTCTCTCTCTCTCCTTCTCTCTCTCTCTCTCTCTCCTTCTCTCTCTCTCTCTCTCTCCTTCTCTCTCTCTCTCTCTCTCCTTCTCTCTCTCTCTCTCTCTCCTTCTCTCTCTCTCTCTCTCTCCTTCTCTCTCTCTCTCTCTCTCCTTCTCTCTCTCTCTCTCTCTCCTTCTCTCTCTCTCTCTCTCTCCTTCTCTCTCTCTCTCTCTCTCCTTCTCTCTCTCTCTCTCTCTCCTTCTCTCTCTCTCTCTCTCTCCTTCTCTCTCTCTCTCTCTCTCCTTCTCTCTCTCTCTCTCTCTCCTTCTCTCTCTCTCTCTCTCTCCTTCTCTCTCTCTCTCTCTCTCCTTCTCTCTCTCTCTCTCTCTCCTTCTCTCTCTCTCTCTCTCTCCTTCTCTCTCTCTCTCTCTCTCCTTCTCTCTCTCTCTCTCTCTCCTTCTCTCTCTCTCTCTCTCTCCTTCTCTCTCTCTCTCTCTCTCCTTCTCTCTCTCTCTCTCTCTCCTTCTCTCTCTCTCTCTTTCCTTCTCTCTCTCTCTCTTTCCTTCTCTCTCTCCCTCCCTCTCTCCCTCGGTTTCCTTCTCTCTCTCTTTCCTTCTCTCTCTCTCTCTCCTTCTCTCTCTCTCTCTTTCCTTCTCTCTCTCTCTCCTTCTCTCTTTCATTATCTCTCCTTCTCTCTCTCTTTCATTCTCTCTCTTTCATTATCTCTCCTTCTCTCTCTCTTTCTTTCCTTCTATCTCTCTCTTTCTCTCTCTCTCTCCTTCTCTCTTTTTCCTTCTCTCTCTCCCTCCCTCTCTCTCTCCCTCGGTTTCCTTCTCTCTCTCTCTTTCCTTCTCTCTCTCTCTCTCTCCTTCTCTCTCTCTCTCTTTCCTTCTCTCTCTCTCTCTCTCCTTCTCTCTCTCTCTCTTTCCTTCTCTCTCTCTCTCTCTCCTTCTCTCTCTCTCTCTTTCCTTCTCTCTCTCTCTCTCTCCTTCTCTCTCTCTCTCTTTCCTTCTCTCTCTCTCTCTCTCCTTCTCTCTCTCTCTCTTTCCTTCTCTCTCTCTCTCTCTCCTTCTCTCTCTCTCTCTTTCCTTCTCTCTCTCTTTCTTTCCTTCTATCTCTCTCTCTTTCTCTCTCTCTCCTTCTCTCTTTTTCCTTCTCTCTCTCCCTCCCTCTCTCTCTCCCTCGGTTTCCTTCTCTCTCTCTTTCCTTCTCCCTCTCTCTCTCCTTCTCTATCTCTCTCTTTCCTTCTCTCTCTCTCCTTCTCTCTTTCATTATCTCTCCTTCTCTCTCTCTTTCCTTCTATCTCTCTCTCTCTTTCATTCTCTCTCTTTCCTTCTCTCTCTCTTTCTTTCCTTCTCTCTCTCTTTCTCTCTCTCTCCTTCTCTCTCTTTCCTTCTCTCTCCCTTCCTCCCCTCCCTCCATCAACATCATAATGAAATGTTTAAATAAAATCTTATTTTAGATCCAGTGATGTCATCATTGGGTCTCAGCGCAATGTGTTAACACAAGCATTTTAGCATGCATCGCACGAGTGTGACTGAGCCCTCTGATTCGTTCCTTCCTAATCACAAGGGAGAGCTTGCTGGGGGAATTTGGGATGCAGGGGCAGATTCGAGAGCTTCAACATCTTTCACTTGCAGGCACGCGGTAGGATGGTGTGAACGCCGGGAACAGACTGTCCGCTCACCCTGAGACACCTCAGCAAGCTGCCTGTCACCTGAGAGATGTCAGCGGGTTAAGATCAGAAGTGTGAAAAAGCACGCTGGAAGCTGTAAGCGCTCAGATTATTATTAAAGTGCATCCGCCATGACAAAAATACGGAGCCTGCCACTACCAACCTCCGTCTGGAAATGCTGGCTGCCTGGCTTCAGTTCTTCTGCATGTACGTCCTGGAGCAAGCCAATAGGAAAGCTGGAGACATGTGGGCGGTCCTTATCTCTGTATTGGTCCCGTCCTTGTTAGGCATGAGGGAGACAGCCAGGCAACTAGCATTATCAGCAGGAAAGGTCAGCAGAACGCAGAGTGAGCCAGGTCCAGCCAGGTGCTATTGCACTGCACAGACTGAAGGGAGAGGGGGAGTGCTGTGAGTCAAGTGCCATAGCATTGCGCAGTGCAATCACTAGCTTGCTGAGAGTAGGAGTGAGCGGAGTGGTGACCTCATTAGCACGGCGATGCTTTATTGTCCAATCAGCAAGCTGTGGGCGGGTCTGGGACCAGGCTGTATTGCATAACTGCAGTGAAGGTGCTGAGGTCCCCGTCCTGAATGGCAGGGGTGTCTGGATCATGAGACTGTCTGAACAGACCTGCTCGGGATATATGAATTCGGCGGTCTGTCTGGACTTACTTCTGTCCTCGGTACATTCTGTCGCTGTGTCATGTCTGTGTTTCTATCTCCATCTGCTGAATCCAAATCTTCTTATTTCAGCATCGCTGGGAACTCTGGAGTTCGAGCTGCTGTATGACCCAGAAAAATGTATCTTGCAGTGCAGCATCCTGAGGGCGAAGGTGAGTCCCGGCCGATCGCTGTGTGGCCGATCATAGTCCTGTACGGATGATGAATATATATATGTAAATTCAAAATATTAACACTCACTTACAAAGCCATCCGCAACTCCGCCCCCGGATATATCTCAGACCTGGTCTCAAAATATCACCCTAACCGTCCACTCCGCTCATCCCAACACCTCCTGCTTTCCAGCTCCCTGGTCAACTCCTCCAGGACTTCTGTAGAGTCTCTCCCATCCTCTGGAACTCTTTACCCCAACCTGTCCGTCTGTCGCCCACCTTGACTGCCTTTAGGCGATCCCTTTAGGCCCCATTCACATTGAGCGATTCGCAAATTGCGCGTTTGTCGCGCGATATCGCATGTTTGTCGCGCGATATCGCGCAAATGCTTGCATTGACCAAGCTAGAAACGCTGCAAAATCCGCTCCAAAAAGGGTCCTGCTGTAGCGACGCACGACCCGCGACAGCGACGGACAGAGCCCCATTGAGATGCATTGGAGAGCGATATCGCGCGGTAAATAGCCGCGATATCGCGGGAATTACCGCGTGATAAATCGCTCAATGTGAATGGGGCCTAAGACTCATCTCTTCAGGGACGTTGATCCCACCTCAACCTAACCGCTCAACCATCACGTTCTCAAACAGTTCATCCCCCACACAGCTCCCTCCTCATGTATCACTGGCCCCTCCCTTTTTAGATTGCAAGCCCTCAGTGTCCTCGGTACATTCTGTCGCTGTGTCATGTCTGTGTTTCTATCTCCATCTGCTGAATCCAAATCTTCTTATTTCAGCATCGCTGGGAACTCTGGAGTTCGAGCTGCTGTATGACCCAGAAAAATGTATCTTGCAGTGCAGCATCCTGAGGGCGAAGGTGAGTCCCGGCCGATCGCTGTGTGGCCGATCATAGTCCTGTACGGATGATGAATATATATATGTAAATTCAAAATATTAACACTCACTTACAAAGCCATCCGCAACTCCGCCCCCGGATATATCTCAGACCTGGTCTCAAAATATCACCCTAACCGTCCACTCCGCTCATCCCAACACCTCCTGCTTTCCAGCTCCCTGGTCAACTCCTCCAGGACTTCTGTAGAGTCTCTCCCATCCTCTGGAACTCTTTACCCCAACCTGTCCGTCTGTCGCCCACCTTGACTGCCTTTAGGCGATCCCTTTAGGCCCCATTCACATTGAGCGATTCGCAAATTGCGCGTTTGTCGCGCGATATCGCATGTTTGTCGCGCGATATCGCGCAAATGCTTGCATTGACCAAGCTAGAAACGCTGCAAAATCCGCTCCAAAAAGGGTCCTGCTGTAGCGACGCACGACCCGCGACAGCGACGGACAGAGCCCCATTGAGATGCATTGGAGAGCGATATCGCGCGGTAAATAGCCGCGATATCGCGGGAATTACCGCGTGATAAATCGCTCAATGTGAATGGGGCCTAAGACTCATCTCTTCAGGGACGTTGATCCCACCTCAACCTAACCGCTCAACCATCACGTTCTCAAACAGTTCATCCCCCACACAGCTCCCTCCTCATGTATCACTGGCCCCTCCCTTTTTAGATTGCAAGCCCTCAGGGGCGGGGCCCTCCTTACCATCTTGTCTAGAATTGTATTGTATTGTGATTGTAATGTCTTCCTTATATTGTAAAGCGCTGCGCAAATTGTTGGCGCTATATCAATCCTGTATAATAATAATATGTATATACTGTATATAGATAGTATATAGCGTGCAATGATATATGTACATGGTGGGCAGCTGTGTCTGTGCATTACATGGGCAGGTTTTGCTTTGTACTTAGTAGCGCTGCGCAATGGCTGCCAATCCTTCAAATCTCACTGCAGCTCTGCCAGACTGGGCCAGTCTGATAGAAACCAATAGATGCTATGCAGGCTATGGTGAGCTGAAACCAATGGTGGATTATATTAGGGGGCGGCTCTTTGGGACCCCAGATCACACGTGGATGGTAAAAAAAAAAAAAGTCTGCCGTTTACATTAAGTCAGTTTCAACTTTTTAGGTCTTGGACTATATATGGACTTTGCAAAAATCTTTTCAATGTGATTCCTCAAAGATTTTTTATGGCATGTTTTCAGGGATCCCAACCTGAAAGAAGCAATTTCAGAGAGGTGCCCTTCTCATTTCAGGGAGGTGCCCTCTGACCCCCCCCCCCCGCCACCCATCCGTGGAGGGGAGAGGTGGGAGAGAGCACCCCCCTAAAACGATGACAGATAGCAAGGAAGCAATAGCTTCCTTGCTATCTGCAGGTAGTATTCAGGCAGCTACTGCAGTCAGAGTAAAAAAAAAGAAAAAAAAGTCAGCATGGGAATGCATAGCCAGATTCCTATTGGCTATTTTAATTTGCAATATCCAATAGCAAGCTGGCTATTGCACCCGCCCCTCTGCTGCTGCCAATCACTAGAAGAGGACCTGATGGAGAACTTCACGTCCCACTCTGCTGATTGACAGCAGCAGTGGGCGGGTGCAATCAATAGCTAGAGCTAGTTTGCTATTGGCTATTGCACAGTGAAATAGCCAATAGGAATCTAGCTATGCATTCCTATGCTTTTTTTTTTTTTTCTGACTGACGG